CCAGGGAATTTCGGTGGTCAGCTGAATTATTTCCAGCCATTAAAAGAAATTGCTGACAACATGGAACTATCGACCTCTGTTTCAAAGGCATTCAATGAAACGGCGTTCAATGAGACGGCTTCGATGAAACGGCATTCGATGAAATTGCGTTCGATGAAACAGCTTCGATGAAACGGCGTTTGATGAAATGTCCGGTCCCACTCCGAACACTAACGTATCTGGTCGAGAATCAGCGTAGCCAAATACTAATTTCGGCATGAATCCTATTTTTTTTCTGAAGTTATTGGGCATTTAAATGTAAGCAGTATCTTTGCTGTCTAATCGGTTTTGTCATATAATTTACCCATCGGTGCTACGAAACAGCTTGCAAAATTACTGTTGTGTACTTAATTATGAGTTGCTAAAAATAAAACATACAAAAATGCCACATAAGATGGACACCGTTAGAGCAAAGCCAGAAAAACTTACCGCAGTGCTAGCCAATCAGAGTGTCAAAACATGACTACTCACCGTAGAAGTGCATTCTTGCCTTGAAGAAGTGTCAAAAGCTTTGTTCCATCTGTCTAATTGGCTCGCGGGGGCACAGCCCCCACCCTTTGCCAAACAATGTTGAAACGGAGTGTAGCAAAAAAAGAAAAGCTGGCCGAAACGGTCAAAGTACTGCATGTTTAATTAACCGAAAAGGAAGAAGCGATAAAACCAAAAACGCAGTATCTGCAGCAACGTTACTAAAACACTCGGGAAACTCGCCGTCGAAACCTGGGCCGCTGGCGTCCACAGAGACCGAGCTAAATGCGACAACGGCGCCACTCTTTATCGTTTGTCTGTACTGTGGTCACCTTGAGCTTTTTGAAAGCCTGTTTTTGCGTAAAAACAAACGGAAAAGACTCTTTTTGTATGAAATTTATTGGAGTTTAGTACAAAAAGAGGGGCGCGTTGTTTTTAAAATCTTGTTTGCAGGGTTTTGCGGTACAATCGATATTGTTTTTATACAAGCATGCCTCAGCGGGCCTTTCAGGTAGCGCGTCCCGACCTAGGTGCATTTTAACTTCGGTAGTTGAACGCGGCGCGTCCGCCGAGGAGACAGCGGTGGCCCCCCTGTAACCTCTACCGCTGTATCTGTTCTTAAAGCCAAAATAGAAGTCACGTGCAGTTCCTCGAGTGGCCGCTGCGGGAGAAATGGTGGCGTTGTGTTCGTCATTAGCTCGGTGCTCGGAGACAGATTGGGGCCACTTTTTCAAAGCTATCTCTATGGGAGTTTCCCAACTGAGTGTTTTAGTAACGTTGATCTGCAATCACCGAGAGATGCAATGTGCACTGACAAATAAAATGTGGCGCCATCTATCCAATATGGTGGCAACTACGGTCGTCAACCACAACGAAACCCCTGAGGTGGCAGCCACACCAGCCCATTCAGAGACTATGGCCTTAATGCAGTTCTCGGCCGTTATGCCCTATGAGGGCTCAAAGCCATTCCCGGCCCTTCCGTCCCTTCTCGGCCGTAATGCGACTATTGGCCAAAATGGCAATGACCCCCAAATTCAAAACTCTGGAAGTCTACGAGATAGGAAAGGAGGGTGAAAATCGTGTCAGTCAAACGTCGGTGTATTTACACAAGAAAGATAACTTTTCCGAGTACCTGTTGACACTATGACGGTGTGGTTGTTTACCTTGGTGTTTTGTTTTCAATAAGGCCAGCTTCAGACGGGGCCACTTTTCCAGCAATTTTGAGGTTGCTGGCGGGTTGTTCCCTAGATTGACGCGAATTCCTGAGAATGGGTCCGGCTCGAACAAGCGAGCAACTCGGAGCAATTCGAAGACGTTTGAAACGGCTGCGGCCAATCAGAGACGAAATATTTTCACGTGACACGCCTGTGGTGGCGATGATGACAGCTAAATACTTAGTTCTGGTTTGAAATGGATCGTTTTCGGAAAGTTTCAGAAAATTGAGTTAGTATTCTCAACGCCGTTCAAAGATATAATAATGCGTTTTTAGCGCGTAGCTGGGCGTCTAAATAGTGAAAGAAAAATCAAATTCAATGACGATGATGGCAAGTCGGAGCAATTTGGTTGCTGCGTGTGAACTACACCGTGGTGTGAACGCGGGCGGCCCGTGTTGCTGGTGTTACGACGTCAAGTTGCTGGGTGAAATTGCTTTGTCTGAAGCGGCCTAAACCAGGGATGGGCAGTATTTAAAATACTTTGTGTATTTTGCATTTGTATTTAATTACAAATTGGGTAATGTATTTGACGTGTGCATTTAAATACTAAAACCTGGGTATTTCAAATACAATTGTAATTAAATACAATTTTGTGGGCGAAAATACATCCCTCAAATTTATTGCCACGACTCATTTTGCTCATCCTAAGACGTGTTCAGCCCAGGAAGAAAACTACGTTCTGCACCGAATGCAGTGTCTCTCAATCAAGCACAAGCGTTTAGTGACTTTGTGATTACGGTGCTAGTCCAAGGCAATAGTGACGAAATCGACGTTCACAGGCAGACTGGCTAAATAAGTGCCTGTGGCAACTTGTGATGCTTTCCAGCCTGATTTCCATACATATTTTTGCCTGGAACATTCTAAATGCGCGGGTCGTCCAGATTTTCGTGACTGGTGTGAGTTGCAACAATAAAAAATTCTCTAGCTAGTGCTGCGCGTCTTGGTCGTCTCGGTTCTTTTGTTGGTCTATACCAAAATGTAATCGACAAAAAAAAACAAAAAAAAAAACTGCTTGAAGCTCCGTACTTTTTTCACCTATTACGTCCAAGCTGATTACATTTTTTTTTTTCTTGTGATATTTCTGTTTAGTTACTACAGCCTCCCACACTAACTCCCGAGTGTGCGATGCAAAATTAAAATGAGATACCCAGAAACCCATTGCAGGTGCCCTGAAGTCGCTGACGCAAATTTTGAGGAAAGAATTTGGAAAAGTATTTGGAGGAGACCAAATACATTTGGTTGTATTTGTATCTTGTACTTAATTTTTTTTTGGAAATGTAATTAGATATGTCATTAAAAACATTTTTGACGAAGTATTTTGTATTTGTATTTCGATACATATTTGCAAGTATTTTGCCCAACCCTGACCTAAACGTTCCGTTTAAGTTTGGCGCTCGTCCTGTCCATTTCTCCTTGTGTACTTTTTACGCCCTGCTACTGGTTTTGTAATCATGAACCAGCTCGCCTGCATCGCTACATTGACTCCTAATGTTATAGACTGCAAAAACAACCACCCAGAAATATATTGAAAAGTTACACTTGAGCTTTAAAAGCGGCGTCGGAACCAGAGTAAAGTCCAAGTTTGCCGCGCTTTCGATCGACAGCCTGCAGGATAATTACCTTGACTACCATATTTATTCAAATACAGACCCGCGTTTTTTGTTTCTTTTTTACAGATTAACTTACAATCAATATTAAAGAATGTAGACCTGTACATAATTTTCAAGCCTGTCGCGCTAACCCAGGCGCTCGCCCATGTCAGTCGCTGCTCCTAATACTCAGTGCAAAGCCGTAAACCTTGACGCGCGCGCGCGGGTGAGATCCAGCGTAGAAGCATGCGCTGCATCTTACCATCTCATCAGGAGCACAAGACTTCGGTTCTGACACACAATAACCGCGTAACCGCCATCCTACTATATCGCAATGTTTCTTTCGACTTTTAGCTCCCAACATCGCTGACATATCGTCTGGAAATTTAGTTGACGTCAGCAGACAAGCCGCCGGCGCAGAAACCGGCCAGCGCGGTTGACGAACAACTTTTATACTTCGTTTCAACTTAATTCAAAGCATAGCCGACACTACAAGCCAATGGGGGGGAAAAAATGAAAGACGTTTACAATTTTTTGTAATGCCGAATTAGAGCGCAGCTTTTGAGGAGGGGAGGGTATGCCCCTCCTCCCCCTCCCATTTGGCGTGAAAGTTTCGCCAAATTTCCCGCTAGATATAGCGGAAAAATTTACCATTAAATTTAGCGGGGAATTATTTCCCTAAATTTTGCGGGGGAATGTTTTCACTAAAGTTAGCAGGGAAATGTTTCCGCTAAATTCAGCGGGGAAATTATTCCGCTGAACTTAGTGGGGAATTTTTTCCGCTAAATTTAGCAGGGCGGGGAATTTTTCTGCTAAATTTAGCGGAGAAATTTACCTACAATGCAACGCGCGGTTACGCCTACGATGGCGACGCCACTCAAGCCGGAAACGGGCACCTAAGTGCTGCGCTCTAAAAACAGCGCCAAAGTGCGACACGATGGCATTCGTCCATCTTCATGTGCATCGACTAAATTAATATCAAGCCCGGCGGACTGTCCCGTGATTTACGCTCTTATTATGTGTTCGTGGTGGTACGTGTTCGAGCCTTCGACTGTGATCTGACCCAGAAATACATATTTGTGACATTTTCCTTTCCCTCCTACTTTGAACATTAAGATCGACCCACATCATTTTTTTTTATCTGCTTAAATCCATTTCAACAATGACACTTTGGCGCAATGTGTGGCAGATTTTCGTTCTTGGCGCAACCCTGCGCAAATGGCGCAGCCCTATTACGTGGCAGAAGTAACTTACATTATGTTAAAATCGTTTTCGAGCGTATCCATGCACATAACAATATCAACATTGAAAGCAGCATAAAATAGTAAAGACTCAATCGTAGCAATCGTTCATCCTGTGCGACTAAAAATGTGTAGCCCACAACAGAAGAGGTCCAATGAGCTTGAAACTCGTGTAGCGCCTACTAGTTCTCGTGATCACAGAACATAAGCAGCTCATCCCATCTTGTAGAGGTGCACACGCTGTAAAACAGCACAAAAGTAACCGGAAAGACACAATCTGGAAGTGTCCTGTACAGTGACAGCAATAGTATTCAGCAGATAGGTCACCCAACAGAATAGGCGCAGTCTTGAACATGGCAGCCGGGCAAACTTTTCGTCTACAACCAAGCTTGATTTTACTGTGGTGCCTCGAAACCAGATTAAACAAATCAGCGTCTTAACGACACAGGTAGGCCAAAACAAGTCAGTTTTATTCCACCAATAAGCATTCTTTATATAAAATACTCATACAAAATAATGTGTAAGGCAGTGTTTGGACCCTGGTTGTAATAGCTCGCGAGTTGCTACAAAAAACTTGACTGGGAAATGACTGTGTAGCAGTGTGCAGAGACCATGCTCCACAAAGACAAGCAAGAGTATACAGGTAAAGGCACCCTGAAACATTGTCAACCAAACTTTGTATGACTGGATGCAGGAAGGCACTAGGAATGGGTAAAGCTTTTAAAATAGGAACACAAGGTTCAGAACCAGCATGAAAAAGATCAAACCTGGTCCCATACAAGCGAGTAAGTAAGAAAATAAACCGCATGGGCAGGTAAATTGATACCCGACCTTGGCACCGGTTGTATGAAGTCATCAGAGCATGGCAGCATGGTAAAGTATGGGGTGTTCGTGAGCGCAATTTGGGCGCAGAGATTAATATAAGTCAATGAACAAAGTGCAATAAAACTTTTCACAACGATCCCTTTAGGTGGTGCATTTTTAAACTCAAGTTTCATGAATTTCCTGGAAAAAAAAATGAAAGCCCAAAAAAGCCTGTCATCTGACTGATTCACGAATCTACTGAATCGGCTTTCGGGTGTTAATATCTCAGGGGAGCACTCACGCTTTTGTTTCATGCTGCGCCACCTGCAAGTAGCAGGGTAAACTAGGTGGTCTGCGATCGTTTTCCTCCCGTGCATAGGAATAATTGTAGTTGTTTGAATCAAACTTTTTTCTAGAAAGCAACACCCATGAAACTTGAGTATAATAAATGCACCACTTAAAAATACCTTTGAGAAAAGTTTCATTGCCTTCCGTTCATTGGCTCGTTTATTTTAATTTTTCTATGCCGGAATAGAACTCAGATATACCCTGTAGGAGCAAGGCACCCTATGGCAGTGATTCATCATCATAACCTGTGGTCATAGATGAAATTCTTCGCTAGTTATATAAAGCCCTTTAGAATGAAAAAGAGATCCCCCCTCTACGATGTGCAGAAGGGGTCAAATAGGAATGAGCTCTTAGACTTTTAGAGTTGCCATGTCATCGAGTTGGCAACTCATTAAGTTAGGAGGAAACTTTCCAGGTCCTTGGAGAGGATGGCCTTTTCGAACGACGGCCGCAGCAAGAGGTCCTCGAGAAACCAGCGCTGCCAATCCCGCCCGACAACCGACACTATGATGTAGTGGTAGTTCTTGGACCTCCTGGTGCTTCGGATGTTGACCGTCTGAACTCCAGACCAGCTGATAAGCAGATTGACCACACCGTCCGTGTCCACCGCCAGTCTGCTTCGGAAGGACGGACTCACCTGTGCCATGCGCAAGTTTTCAACGCGTCATGAGAGTGCAATAGCACAAACACGAAAGTTCAAACTGAGATTTAAACTGCAGGGCTCAGTTTTGGCTTTTTTCCACAGGCACCAATGGTTCCTCTCACAAGTTTTGCACCAGGATATCAAAGGTGCAGATGCACGAGCTTAGCTCTGCAATTTGCCTTTCTGAACTTGCGGACAAAAGATAGATTCCAGAGATTCCTGCCAGAATGTTGCACAGAGCACTTGAGAGAGAGCAGGGTCTTTACTCAAACCTGGTCTCCAGGAACCCCGGCAAACGTAAACTTTACAAATGATAAATGTTGAACATAATCGAGGCAACATTCGTCATGTGCACAGTGAGCTGTCTCGGGGCGATGCCGCGTAAAGCATTTCCACACCATAGCAGGGCACCACAAGAGCAACAGATCTGTCTCGACTTTCCCAACTTTGACCATGGCCAAGGACGAGAATGAACAGTTGCCCTTCCCGTGCCAGCTGAAGATACAACATAAAAAGAGCAATTACCTTCAAGCGGATGGGATTCCCCTCGTAGACGTCCTGCATGGGCTCATGAAGGTCGGTGTCGCACGGCAATCCCACGTGGCAGGGATCCCTCGAGAGTGCCAGCATGTTGTATGTTCTCAGTGCCGCCATAGTCACACTATGTGTGTGTGAGGCAGACAGTCTGCAGAGGCTGCAAGGTGGGTACTCCACTGACGTGCTGCTCACGTAGCGGAGGAACCCCACCACATAGCCACCTGCCGTTGCCAGCTGCCCTCCAAAAAACTCGTCGCACGAGGTGTGCTGAACATCCGTCTTGTTCGGCAGCTCCCGATCTGCTGGTCCAGATGAGGAACTTTGCGAAACAAAGCTATTGAAGAGTGTGGTCAGGCAGCGATTGCAGATGCCTGGTCCACCTACAGTCGTATCCTTCATCAGTTCTTCCTTGGTCGCCCATTTGGTGACCGTTTCGAAGGCAAGCTCTTCCACAGACTTGCCAGACTGCTCCTTGTCGAGCACTCCGTTCAACTTCGTAATCAACGGGTTCCGCGGAGCTGGTGCCGGCTTCAATTCCGAAGCATTCACTTGCTTCATTACGAGAAGGAGCACGTCGGAGACGGACCACGGGAAGCTGTAGCAGTTGGTCTCCTGCCAGACTCCAGCATATGTCACCATGTACCAGGCAGATGCCACCTGCAGAAGGACCGTCAGCTTACCGGCCTCCGTGGGCACTTTCAAGCTCTGGCAGGCAGCATCGACGTCCCTGAAGAACTGCTCCCTCGTGCTCTTAACCAAGTCCCGGTACTGCTTCTCAACGAGCGCCTCCACGCTCGCCTTGTCAGTCTTGCTTTTGTTGTAGTCGGAGACGCTGTTGATAATACCAGAGACCACCTCGCCCTCGGTCTTGATGCCGTGCTGACGGAGGATCTGCTCCATCCGCGAGCCGTAAACCGCCAGCGCCGTCTGCGCGGATTCCTCGTGGTCCCTCCAACCAGGGTACTCAAACAGAGCGTGGTTGCCATCTCCGTCGGCGGCGCGGTCTTGGAAGTTGGTGCTCACAACCGCCTCGAGCGACCGGTGCAGGCGGTACAGGTGTCCCAGGACGTGCTGGGACCGGTATGTGTCCTTGAAGCCACCCTTCTCCATGAAGTCTGGGTACTGCAGCGGCTTCTCATCCCTGTCAAGGGAGGCGGTCTCGCCGGTCTTCGCGAAGTCGAGGCAGGTGGAGATCTTCTGGGCGATCTTGAGACAGCGTTTGGAAAATATTCCGTCGTCCTCCTTGTCTGCCCACGCGAGGTGTGCGTTGGACATGATGCCCACGTTGTCGTTCTTGATGTAGTTGCAGACAAACTGGATCATACCCTCCACCTGTTGGGAAGGTACGGGGGCAAAGAGTGAGACGGCATTATGGCACCTGGATTGCGTTTTACTTTGGTGCGTTTACCATCCTACTCCAACCATGCATCGAAAGTGGTCCCAAAGCGGCAACACCTTGCAACATAAGAGCCGGCATGTTGTGCTGTCGGATGTCGCCATCCCGACGGTTGGTCATAAAAATACTGGCGAAAAAGGCGACTGGACGCAAGGGTTGCTGTCGCTGCAATGCTGTGCCGCCGCTGCCAGGATCACGGCAGGCAATGAAGTGCACGAGGGTTTTATGACGTCATCAGGTGGAAACCGAGGCACCACTTTTGAGGACACGGTAAGCAAACCAACTGGAGATGCACTCCAGGCATCATAATGGCACAGGGCAATTCGCTGGGGAATGGTTAAATGGCGCACGTAGACCAAAGACAAAATCGAGGTTGGAGACAGAGTCTCAAGAATTTTGGCAGGAACTCACCAGGCTGCTGTTTGATGTCGCCGTTGAAGAGGAGTCGCTGAACACCATGGGCTGCTTGTTGGAGCCTGGAAAGAAAAGGTCCTCTTCCCAGATGACGATGTACTCGTCACCGTCCAGGTCGGAACCTGCGTGGCATTTACGAGTGAAGAAGCTAAGTCGGATTAACAATATTTTAAAGCGCAGCTTTTAGGCGCCCGTTTCTGCGTATAGCGGCATCGGCATCGATGTCACCGTCAGCATAACCGCGCGCATCTCATTATTTATAGGAGATCACAAACCTATACAAGAAACTGAATTGGTGTGTAGGTCTGTGATGTCCCATAATGCATCACTGCGCATTCAGTTTCCTTGCTAGATTTAGCGGCAAAACTGACGTCACATGTCCTCAACACCAATTCAGTTTCCCCACTAAATTTAGCAGAGAACTGAATTGGTGTTGAGGTCATGTGGCATCAGTTTTTTCACTAAATTTCGCGGGGAAACCGACTTTATGTGTAAGTCATGTGACATCATTTTTTCCACTAAATTTAGCGGGGAAACTGAATTGGTGTTGAGGTCATGTGACGTCAATTTTCCCACCAAATCTAGCAGGGAAATTGAATTTGTTCATAGGTGACGTGACACGAAATCATGTGATGCCATTTTCCCAGCTAAATTTAGCGGGGAAACTGAATTGGTGTTGAGGTCACGTCACGTCAATTTTCCAGCTAAATTTAGCGGGGAAATTGTGATGTGATGTGACGTCACAGTCCATGGCTTCACGAGATGCGGCTTTACAAAATCCAGAGCAACTAGCCAAAAACGTTTCACGTTGAAACAAACACCGCGCACATTGCATTATAGAAATCCCACCTAGAGCACTGCACAAGCCGGAATTTCTCGGCCCGGCCAGGTGGCGGCACGGCCTGGGCCCGGCCCGAAGCCGATAGGAGATTTAATTTCTAGCCCCAGCCCGGTCGAGAAACTGCCCGGGCCCGGCCCGAGTCCGATAGAATATATAATTTCTAGGCCCGGCCCGGGCCCGGCTTGGGTGGGTCTGGCAGAATTCTGAGACAGAAGCTTGAACTCCGCCTGAGCCCGGCAAAATTCTTAAAATATAAGGCCAACCCGAGCCGGGCTTAGGCGCAACTGAGCCAGAAAAGGTTTGCAGCCCAAAAAATACATGAGCCCGAAAGCTTGCAAGCTTCAACCTACAAACTGTCTAATAATAAAGCGAGCAACTTGATTTAAATTTCTCTAAAACTTGGACAGAGTTTTTTTGACACAAGAAATATCCCGATTTAGACAATGCATTTTCGAGAATATAAGCGAAATATGCACTTCATAAGTGATTTCGAGAAAAAAAAAAAAGGCCAATATTTTATTTATGCATTTCTTGAAGAGATGCTGGACTTTTCGATCAATTTGTTTCACGAATAGCTTCACTCTCTACATGTTTTTGTGAAGAAACAATCACAATCACGCTAGTGCATGTTCAAAAGGCTGTGTAAGCATAAAATTATGTATGGTAGGTAGCTTATCTTTGGTGGCATAGTAAGGCCTCTTGCACAAAGTGCAAAGTCAAGCTTGCAATGTTTTCTTCTGGTTATTGTGGCGTAAGCTACACTGGCCAAGGTTGAGCAGTTTCACATGGCTCCTGGAGAGCCGTGCTGCACATGCGCGAGGAGCAGTGACGCAGCGGGCAGGACTGGTATGGCGCCTAGGTCAGTCCCCGATGCATGCGCCGTGTGCATGCACCCATTCAGAGATCATAGCTCGCGCTGTCCGGTTGTTCTGGGCGGCAGCTTGGTTGCTTGATACATAACAACACGGCGCACAGGTGGCCGAACCAACGACGGGCATCTGGCACGCCCCAGCGGAGGATTAATTTGGACCATCTGGGGATCTTTTGACGTACCCGAAAGCTCGGTTACACGACGCCTCCTCCGCAATAAGAAGAGCGGAGAAGCTTAACTCATCGGATCCCAAAGTAGTCACATAATGCGTATAACATGTGTTTCATTGAAGCAGCAGTAAGCATGATAATAAAGTTAATCCTAGACAACCAGGAAAGCTAAGAATAACTCACTGAACCTAAGCTTACGCTACATATATCCTAGCATAGTCGAGCTAAGCCACTGCAATTTTTTTTTCTTTTTTTTAATGCAGAGGAAGAAGACAGTTATGTTGTACCCTGACACTGGAGTGCTCTCGTTTTCTTGACCGCACCAAAGCCTCCGAAATCCTGAAGCGCGAGCGAAGGCTTTCGCGCTTCGGAATCTTGTAGGCCATGACCGCAGTTTCCCCCTATGCTGGAGGAATCCATACGTTTCCTTTTATCCATATGAAGGCTTTCCAAGTGCCATTTTGTTTTTGCATTTTGCTTGTTTGTTTTCATTGAACCTAAAAGATCAATGAGCACAATTTGTGTTACCAACAATTGAGAATTTGCGGCACACGACTGCCCAGCCAGGGCCCAAAAATATTTTGTTCAGTCCCAAGCCCAGCCCGGGCCCGAGAAAATCCATGCTACCTGGCCCGGGCCCAGCCCGCAGGCCGGGCCGGGCTTGGGCTTTTGGGCTGGCCCGGGCCCGTGCAGTGCTCTAATCCCACAATACCCTCCTCGTCCTCCATGGCCTGCCCTCAAACAAAACAAAAATATAAAATAAATATATATATACATACAGGGTGATTCACGAAAGGTGGACAAATTCGATATTGCGCAAACTATGCGTCACAACAAAAAAAGAAGACTTGTGTCATTTTGGTCCTGGGCCAGGGGCCTATTTAAGAAAATTATTAAATTTCAGGATAATTACATTGTTAATTATGTTTGCGTAATTAACTTCTTTAATTGTGTTTAAAGGCATGGTTTCAATTAGAAAATTGCTCAGCATCATCGAAAGACACTAAATCAACAAATTGCAGAACGATAGAAGGCACGCGCAGCATTTTACTGGTTTCTGAAAAACTGCACTATATCGACGAATTTTTAAGCTTCGGTTTGCTATCAGGGCGCATCTCGGCCCCGACAACACTGCACCCCGTGGAGAAATAGTGCAACCAGCCTCTGCTGCGCTGTCCTCGCACAACTTAAAAACCCTTCGAATTTGTGCGGTTTTTCAGAAAGCCGTAGAGTGCTGCGCGTGCCTTCTATCGTTCTGCAATTCGTTGATTTAGTGTTTTTCGACGATGCTCAGCAATTTTCTAATTGAAACCACGCCTTTAAACACAATATTAAAAAAATAATTACGCAAAAATAACTAACAATCTCATTATCCCAGACTTTAAAGGCCCCTGGCCCAGGACCAAAACGACACAAGCCTTTTTTTGTTGCGATGCATAGTTTTTGCAATTTCCAATTTGTCCACCTTTCGTGAAACACCCTGCATATTTCTCTCTCAAATTCTCTACCACGGTATATCAACAAAATCAACAGACCTCAAGAGCTGCACTCTAATTTCGCATTAAGACCCGTTCAAACACTTGCGACGTCTTAAGACCAAGTTCCTTGGAACCTTTTAAAATCTCTTACAATGAGAGGACATACTGTCACCATCTATTGGGTAGCAGTAAAAACTTGGCAATCCCGCATAATTTCTATTTCTCTTGCACACCATCCTTTCTTTCTTGGCTTGAAAAACTTTTGTCAACGTTATAAATGACCCTTTCTCATAGGTATTAGGCACATTTGACCTCAGAAATCCCGCCAAACCATCGCTCTTGTGAAATGCAGTTCCAGGGTCACCGCTTAGATGGCACCAGTGTACTCTTTCATCCTAAGAAATTGTAAGAGGTTTCAAGGAACTCAGTTCTAAGGGGTCGCAAGTGTGTGAACAAGCCTTTACAGAGAAGCGGAAACATCTAATTTTTACAGCGAAGCTCTTATGCACTAGGATCTGGGAAAAAAATGTGTCCGCGGATGTTGACAGAAAACTCCCCCTGTGGTCCTGGCAAGTATGAATAAATAAAAATAAAAAGAGGCCAGCATGAGTCAACCATCCTTGGCATTATTAAATAGTGAGGTCCTGATCCCTTGTTATCATCTCTAGGCATCGTCCTCGAGGTCGTCCTCGAGGTAGTCCTTGAGGTCGTCCTAGACATCGTCCTTGAGGTCCTCCGTGAGGTTGTCCTAGGCGTCGTCCTTGAGGCGTCGCCCTTGAGGTCATCCTAGACGTGTCTTCAAGGTCGTCCTAGATGTCATCCTTGAGGTAGTCCTTGAGGTCGTCCTCTAGGCGTTGTCCTCGAGGTTGTCCTAGAAGTTGTCCTTAAGGTCGCCCTAGGCTTGTCCTCTAGGCCCATCATCCTAGACAACATAAAAATAACACCTTCGCTGGTCCTACATCTTCAGGTGAAGTGGAAGGGCTCTACAATTTTTTTTAAAAAAGAAGATGGCACTTGTTTGTAAAAGTCACTCTTTGGGGATTGTGAAGATTTATAGGTACAATGCTTCCAGAGTTTACAGTAAACAGCAATTATAAGAAAGAAAAACCGAGAACATGCGTTTTTATATTTGTGTAGGGACATTGAGGATTGGTGACACTATCAGAAAGAGTTTGAAGCAGCTCTTCAATCAATCTTTTGTTTAGGTATGTTTTGAGTGTGCAAGTGTTAATCTTCTTTGGTTCCTGAAAAGCAGGATGTTCTGCAGCCTAGTGGTCTTCAGGGTGTGGATATATAAGGTGATCGAATAAATACGGTAGTCAACTTGGTGACATTGTTCCTCCTTTTTACAGCGATAGCTGTTATGGGCTCTTCCCACACTGGAAATGACGTCCATTGATGATGTCAATGTTCTTGTCATTCTTGACATTGTAGTTGGCGTGCTAGGACGTAGGGTGCCCGTCCTCGATGTTGCGAATTCCTTAAAAAAGATTGCCCACTGCCCTTGCGAAATGAACCTGGGTCTGCTGCGTGCGAAGCGGATCCGTTACAGCAGAGCTATGCCACAGCGTTAACAACCCGCTTTATACTTGGGGTTTTTGCAGTACCTGCAATGCCCATTGCATGCACTCTCTGGAAAAGTACAAGGAAATGGCCAATAACAAGATGCCACCATAGCACCGTTAATGTCAAGAGCCCATGTTGGGAGATGCACTTTCAAACGCTCTGAAACAAAAGCATCCGGAATAAAATGGTCAGATGACTATTTTGTTCCAAACACTTTTATTCACAAACCTCAGGGTGCAAAAATGCGATGCCGATGCTTAACAAGTTCGCCGTGAAGTGTCGCAGCAATCATTGTGAGTCTACTGTAGATTGACACAGGACTGCTCAATTTCGTTTTTCTCTGCCACTTTATAGTTTTCTTTTTTGTGTGCCAGTCTTCAGCTAATATCATAATAAACTTTCACCAGTTTGCTTGCACACTAGTTGTGTTTTAGCTAATCAACCCTTCTCAGGATGTAATTAATGTTTACAGCGCAAAAAAAAAATTTTTTTTTTTCATGCACTGCATTAAGAAGTTTTTTTTTTTTTAAACTGTGCTCTATCAAAACTCAGACAGTTTAAGATTTTCGCTCCATGAGCAGCCTTGAACACTTTTAAAAAAAAGTGAAAGCCGTTTACAACTCCCTGTAACACCGAATTAGAGCGCAGCTCTTGAGGAGGAGGAGGGAAGGGTACTGGGGGGGGGGGGTGAAGTGACCTGGGGGCGGTCACGTGACCTTGGGGGTTCACGTGAGGATGCCGGTGACGTCATCAGTGACGTCGCTGATGACGTCATCAGTGACGATGACGATGCGGACTCCGATGGGGTCATCAGCGATGATGACGATGACGATGCGGATGTCGGTGACGTCACTGATGACGTCGTCTGTGATGATGACGATGACGATGTGGATGCCGGTGACGTCATCAGTGACGTCACTGATGATGTCATCAGTGATGATGACGATGACGATGCGGATGCCGGTGAAGTCATCAGTGGCGTCATCAGTGATGATGATGACGACGATGCGGATGCCGCTGATGTCATCAGTGATGATGACGTCAATGGGGAGGTCACGTGACCTCGGGGGGGGGGGGGGGGGGGGGGGTCACGTGACCTTGGGGAGAGGGGGGGTCACGTGACCTCGATGGGGGTCGCGTGACCTTGTGGGCCACGTGACCCTAGGGGAGGGATCACGTGACCTCTGGGATCACGTGACCTTGGGGGTCACGTGGCCTTGGTTACGCCGACGGCAACGGCGACGCCGCTCAAGCCGGGAACGGGCCCCTAAGAGCTGCGCTCTAAAACTCCTCTTCCAGAACCACGGGTAAGTCAAAACCTGGTAAAGTGAAGCTCACCTGCCATCTCGTTGGGGTGTGGCCTGGGACCCTTGGCCGGGAACACAATGCAGTCTCTGACATGGTGCAATGCTGGCACGTCCACCGCCTGGAACTTGCGCACGTCGCCGGGGTGCAGGCAGGGACACTTGGTCACCAGGACAGTGCCTGTACACGTGAAAAGAAAACTTTGCCAAGTTCCGGGGATGCCTGAAGCCACCAGAAGCTCCGAAGCACGGTCGGAACAACCTTCCTCAAGTGTCTGAGACGATCCATGAGTGCTTACCGTTCCAATTCTAATTGCAAAGCAAAAGGCATTTAAACCTCTCTCTAGTAAAGTCAGGGTTTGCAAGATCTGCTCATACTAGTATACCTTAAAAAACAACAAACAAGCAGAAAAAAAAAAAAACACCCTTGATTTTTTGTTTCTTTACCAGAAAAAAGGAAAGCCCTCCTGCTCTCTGTCCAAATTAGCTCCAGGACCCACTTTTTTCGGGCAAGGAGGAAAAAGCAAGAGCGGAAATGGAGAGGACATTGAGGAACAGTGTTTTTCCTGGCAGAAAGCACTGCCCCGGTGTCGGCCCTGTGGTAGTGAAACAATTTATTCAAGCAATGTTTCTTTGCCTGAAGCAGTGGTTCTCAGCCACTGATGTTTGGGACCCCTTTTTGGATTGGCAGGGGCGATGGGGAACCCATCCATTGGGGAAAGATGGGGTATTGAACTACTGCAATGAAAGACAGGTAAATGAGAAAAACTAAATGCATGCGAACCAACCCTGAAGCTCTGAAATAAAGAATGATCAACCCTACTCACTCAGCACACATGGTTCGATCTATTTAGCTTTGTGAAAAAGCATTCATAATAAAGCAAGATTTATTGCTCGGCTTGACTAGTGACAGAGGCCTTCGGGGACCCGAAGAAGGCTTTCAGGGACCCCAAGGGTCCCTGAAAGCCTTGAGGACCACTGGACCAGAGAAAGGGTCAATGCACTTCTTTTAATGTGACAGCATTAACTGTCCCATATGGAGCGAGCCAACATCATCAGCTGTGCCAAACGGCGAATAAATTCCCGAAGCCGCGATCTGAGGCATCCCAGCTTTGAAACCACGCAGAAAGCCACGCAAAACGGCAGTAATATGGACCCGCTGCGCATCAGTTTCAATTAGCGCCTCCACGTGGCGCTGTATGTTTGCGAGGAAGCGACTCCACCGCTCCATGCCCAAGGTCAGCGTGGCGAGGAGAGCGCGCGCACTCGGCTGTCGACGCAAGTACGCTGCAGACGAAAAAGAGAGCGGAGGAACAGCATGCATGTTTTCGCATTCACAACTCATAAGAAGTGCTTAGGTGTACCTTGAGCCTTTTTTCTTCTAAATTATCTAGCAGGAGCCTATACAGCACCTGCAAGCTGTTCAGGTTTAGAACCATCAAAGGGAAATCTTGAAGGCGAAAAGTTGTTGCCTTTTTTTTCATTCAGTTTTATTTTGACGCGTCTGCCTTCGTGACATGCCAGCGGTTTTAGGTTCTGAACCGGTGTTACTTTACAGAGCTTCTCCATCGGATGATAAGCTGTCATCCCATGAATATAATTCTGAGAAGCGCTAGAAGTCTGAATCGGAAAAGCGCTTCCAGTGATGTGATTGGCCAGAGTCATTTTGGAGCACCTTTTAGAGCAGCAAAAAGTATTTTTGGAGCACATGCACACACTTCATTTTTATTCACAACACTCTAAATATTGCATTTTAAGATTCCCGTGTTGGCCTATTCAACTAAAAGACATGCCTACTTTACCTTTTCACTTCTGTGCAACCTTTTGTTGGTATAACTGCGTGGCAGGTTGGATTCCCTCAAATGCAGGAATAGCTGTTAGGTTGCACACAGAAACATTAAATATGCATGGCAACAAGATGCATGTTGATGATAAACAGTATAGACTGCTGTGCTGTGAATAGTTATTGTAGATATGAAATAGAATATAAATCAAATAGTATATCCCTCTGAAATAATGTTAGAATAGGGTAATCTTGAGCACAGAAATTTATCTTTTATTATATTTCTACTAAATGTAATAAAATTAAACTTACTGGTTGAGCTTATTTCCCAACCCCCCCCCCCTTTCCACTGCTTCATCTAATTTAGTTTTAATTAACTTTATTGACTGTACCTTAAACACGTAATACCTATATTCAGAAATGTTTACTGCTAAGTAGAGTTTTTAAATTAGCACTCGCCACGTTTTCTCCCTTCTTCTTTTTAATATACCAGACGCCTCTGTGTTTAACATACCCCACTTTGGAGGTGTGCTTTCTTCTTAGCACGCAGGCGCACTGCAGCGAAGCAAGATAAGCAAAATCGCGATGCTTACATCACACTTTTTTCACTGCAGTACACAGGTGCGCGGTGAGAAGTGCACTCAACAAACAAAAACAAAGCTAACTTACCCGCCAGGGCAGACAGCGAACGTGACTTGATATTGCGAAAATTCCGAGTACTGTTAGTGTACAGAGAGATCAAAATGAATGGTATGTTATTCGCGGCGATAATTGAAAGTTATGAAAATTTGCACAAGCCCACCATAACGATCCGGACGTGTAGGAGGGCCTCAGCTATTATATCTTCAGTATCCATAAAGTGAAATTGAGTTTCGGCACAATGTTGGCACAGATTCTACACATTTTGGTTAAATGTAGCAGGAAGTAGCAGGGCAAGTCCTTTGCAGTTTCGCACAAATGGCGTAGCAATCGCACCACTGCGCTCCCAATTGCCAATACCACCAGAGCAGTCGACATGAAGCAAGTATCTCGCGCGAAGCAACCATCTCCCCACCATCTTGGGCATATTACGTGCGTGGAGCATCTAATTTCAAGACTATAAATAGTCCAAGCAAAGCCCAACAAAATATTTATAGTTCTCCAAAGACATGACAAATAGTAACACCTTAGGCGGGGCACGCCAGTTTCGCATTTAGGCGGGCACTCTCAAATGCATAACCGCTGCCATACACGTATGCTGACGACCGCCAAACAGGCATGGCAGCCTCCTTGGCATGTCGCCACGCCCCTCAACTCTACACGAAACCGTGCACGCTCCTCCCCTCGTCAGCAACGAGAGATGCGACGCACCTGTGAGTATCTGTGCCCTGCGAGTGCCCTCCTCCTCCTCTTTCTGGGCCCCTTGCCCGGCCGTGGTGTCCAGCGGGGTGTACTGCACAAACACCTCCCCGTACTCCAGGCTGTACGTCTCATCCACCACGCCCAGCATGTTGCGTCCCTTGTTCGGCGGCACGGCAATCCTAGTTCGCGTGCGAAGACCGTCTGCATCGGAGACAATTCTTGCCATAAGAACCACGGAATGGACACCGGCTCTCGTAGGCAACCTGGTGGCACAAAGTGTTCAACCAGGTTGCCCGCACGTTAAATTATATCTATGGCCATCTGTACTGCAAGGGGCAAAGTGCAATCAGCCACGTGAACAGCACTTCTCAAGTTCAAGTTTATTATCTTCAAAGACATCCGTTGGATGGATTACATGAGAAGTGCGTAAACAAGTCAACAAGGGATTACTAAAAAATATCACAATAAACAATTTAAGGCAAAAAAGAACAAAAAGACACAGGATACCACATATCCAAAAAGGCTTTGCACTTGGAGTGGAACGATGGTTAGCATCGGTTACTATAAGGTCAGTTGGCGAATACCAGTCGTTGATGCATAGCGAAAGTGGGGAAAATTTGTGCCGATTGGTGCGTTATTGTAATGGTTCAATTTTGAGAGGAAGATCACACTGAAGAGATATGTAGGAAGGAGAATGACAACAAGTGGATCTTAAATGAGGAAGGTTATAGTACAGGTTATGAAAGAAGCACAGCCGAGACAGTTTTCTATGCGTAGATAAAGCCAAAAGACTGGATTCAGATTTGAGTTGCAACATGCTCGTGTGGGGTGAGTAGTTCTGATGAATGAACCGGGCCGCTTTGTTTAGCAAGGATTTGAGATTGTTAATGAAGTAGGCTTGATCAGGGTTCCAGATTATGCTTCCATATTCTAACTGTGAGTGAACAAGTGTTCTATGTGCTGCGAGTATAGTAAGAGCTGATGCTTCATATAAATTTCTATGTAAAAAACCAGGTATTATGCTCACCAAGGTTTTTATTTGTACATGACATACGAGCCCACCTACCCAGGACACAATTCGTGGCTCGAAATTCGTTTTCTTTCCGCCCAAAACTGCCGATCGAGAACTGGCCAGTTTGAGTCGCGCTCACTCTCTTTTTCATAGTCACGTGCTGTTTTGTAAGGTTTAGACACAACCACCAAAGATAATCAAAGTCGTATGTCATCGAAGGCACACTCAATACTAAAAATAGACAAAAAATAGGCTCAGCATTCTTTGCGGATTAAAAAAGCTGAAAATACACTGACTGCAAAAAACAAATTTAAAGTTGCATAGCCACATGACTTCGGTAACTTTCTCTTCCTCTATATTTCTTCTTCCGCCCCAGTCAACAGGCCCGTAGCCGGGGGGGGGGGGGGGGGGGGGGCATGGGGCTTGGGCCCCCCCCCCCCCCCCCCCCCCCCGAAATCTCACTTCGCTGGGACCCCCCTCTCCCCCCTTTCCCTCAAACAGACAGCATTTTGTCAGGGGCGGGCCCCCCCCAAAACAAAATCCTGGCTACGTGCCTGCCAGTCAAGTTTC